CGGGGCCATTCCTGGGAAGGTTCAACACTGTTCAAGTTTCCTCTGTTTGTAGATAATGGCACTCACCGTGGTTCACTGGAGTCCCAAAGCCTTAGAAGGCATGATAGGTTGCTTTTTGAGATCTATTAGCATGCTTCACTTTGTCAGACAGCTTCTATTTAATTGATTTCTTGATTCAACAGGTCTGGCAGTAATCGGGCCTGGGTGTGACAAGTGAGATTTAACTCTGCTTTCCAAAAAAATGTGGTTAATCACAGTTCATTAATGATTTAGCAAGGGGGGCAAGTATTTTTTCACATAGGGCCAGGAAGGTTTGGACAGCTTTTTTCCCTTAACAAATGACATCATCATTTAAAAACTGCATTTTGTATTTACTCAGGTTATCTTTGTGTAATATTAAAATGAATTAAAGTGTGACAAATATGCACAAAAAAAAAAAAAAAAAAAAGGGGGGGGGGCAAATACTTTTTCACGGCACTGTATATGGGAAGGAGAAGAGCCAGTCCAATGGCCAGTGTTACTAGGGTATGCTCTCTGTACCTAATCCCCCACGAATTAGTGGTCAGGTGTGTAAGATGGCTATGAGGACTCTTTTGAGTAGTTGATCTTTACGGGAGTGTGGGTCCATGGTAGGTTAGTGGAGGCCCAAAGCCTGAATCAAAATACGATACGCCTGTGTTTAATTAGCCCATCCTACACACTTTAACTAGAGATGTTTACCTTTTATAGGTATAGGTTGGTGACACTTCGGGTCTCTTTGGGTGCTCTTTCTATTTCTGGCCACACAGCAGTTCATTACCTTTTGCAACTGGGAGAACAACCATTTTGGTACTTTTTTCATGCTTTGCACCTTAATAAAACTTTTTTGCTGTTCTATAAACCTAGGAGTGTTCATCATCCACTTTTCCTGCCAGCCCAGCAAACAAATTCCATTTTGATGGACTGCAGAAACTGCTGTTTTGTCTTCTTCACAGTGGGCTTAGAAATTAAATTTTTCCCCAAACGTTTTTGCTGTAGGAGAGAAGTGTTTTTTATTTTTTTTTTGTAACAGGACCCCATGTTGGGTATAAAGAATTATACAGATATTCTAAAACTAAAGAACAAGATTCCTTTCACGGTAAAAGAAAAATGACTGTTGTAAGATCCTTAACAAACCCTTTGTTTCACCGATGAGCTCGGAAGGAGCCTATCTCTCTTGGGTTCCTCTTTCTATCCCCTTCTGTAAAGCCTCATGGGGTGATTACCAAAAAGGTATTCTATCTGCCTTTGTGCACTTATAGGAGAATCAGGCTCCACATGAAAAGTAGGTGAAGAGGGCACCTAGGAAAATAAAAGCGTCAGCCAACATGAAGAGAAAGAAGAGAGCCATCACCGGCTCAGCCGGCGATTAGCGATTGATGTTGGTGTGAGGCATCGGGATTGAGGCAATAAGCTTCAGAATTGTCTCTATTCCAGGGACGCCGTACACCTCATTTGAATGAAAGATTCCCTTTTATTGTTTGATGTGAAGAGCTAAATTTAAAGACCGCAGGATTTTTTTTTGTCTCCCGTTCAATCTTCAGAGGAATATTATTTTCATACCTGATTCATATCCGACTGTGAAGGGCTACCGCTGACCAGATGTCTCTTTGTCTTCACGAAAAGAGCTGAAGCAAGGATGAAAGTTTTATGAGGATCTTGGCAGAAGGGAACAAGCAGCACTAGAACGCAGGGGGGCCCCGGGGGTGGGGGTTGGGGAGATCTCAGAGGAGCGTAAAACATTCATCACTGCCTTTGTGTCCTACCTGGTGTCATCCCCTCTTTGGTTAATTCTAGCAGTTGTTTGATCAAGCACTTTGCGGATGTAGCATGAAAGCATTGAAAAAAATATTGCCAGTTATGGGTAGTGGCCGCGTAAAGTCATTGGAGGGTCAGTCAATTGCCAAGTGTCATAAGATGTCTCTGAATGAGCATATGCAGCATGTTCAGCGGTTGGAGGTGAAATATTGTTGATAGGCAAAGCTGAGGTTTGCAAAATGTTTTAAGTATATGTAAACCCAATCTCTAAAATTTTATATACACAGTAATATGTTAAAGACCAACTTTGGGCTCATCTTTCCAGTCACTGTCAGGGCAGGGGCCGAGGAACGGACAGGCAGGCCTAACAATGTAACGCACTGGCTGACGACAACCACCACCCACAGACCGAAGTCCCTCAGGGCGCGGAGTCTAAGTCCCAGGCTGCCCTTCACCAGGGCCCCTGATGGTGGGGATGGACTTGACGCAGCCAGGAACCAGGTCGCGGCCCCCGAGACACCTCAGCTGCAGTAATGGCTGCCGCCAATGGCGTGTAGCTGGTGGAAGAGACAAAAGAGTAGTCAGACAAGCCGGGTCAACAACAACAGGACAAAACAGTACAGGACAGCAGACGAGAATCACAGGTCATGAGCCGGGTTCAGCAACAGAGGGTCAGATCAAAAGAGAATACAAAGAATAGTCGAGTCACAAGCCGAATCAGATACCAGGAGAGTTACGAGAGTCAGAACAGAGTAATAGCAACACAAAGACACAAAACACAAGTGCAAAGAGCATGTGCGGGCCACAGGCTTATATGTCATCAGCCACACCCCTCTGGGGGATGGACCACAGGGACCTGAAGGCATAAAAGGATTCCCACCATGCACAGCAGAATCCAAGATGGACGCCAGCACATGGAGTAACATAACATCAGGGAAAAGGTAGGACCTTGACAGTCACCCCACTACACCTCAATCCCCTTTATGCTTATTTATTATTTTTTTTTATTTATACTTGCCTTATCCGAAAGCCTTCAGTCCTGTCATGTGATGTGCAAGGTCCCCTTCCTCTGAGAATCTTATTCGAACAGTAAAATCACATCATTGCATGTGAATGCAGGGCGTTGAGGTGATGCCTCCTCGGGGGTGGGACCATGACACTCTGGACTTAAAGGATGCCTTTAGTCTTCACCGAATGACTAAGACTGTGGACATCTAGTGGTGGAAAGCTGTTACTGTGCGTGACAGAGCTGGAGAGGAAGAATTTCAGCCAGAGCTGGCTTTTTATTGACATAACTGCAGAAGAAATAAAATCAAAAAACACTCTCTTAATAAATAAATCCAATTCCCCACAGCACCATCAACACCTTTACCCCAAAAGATGTACAAAAATCAGCAAACAGAAGATGCTATACAATAAGTCCTCAAAAACTATGTGCAGCCCAAGCCCTATAAGTCCAATCTTTAATTCAAATTCTTCTCGTGTTCAAAAAATTCCTCTGATAATATACCTCAAAAAGAAAAAATATTCACATAGTGCATTATCTTTTTTTTAGCTAAATAAATAATAGTGACTTCATTCAAGGGAATACCCAATCACATTAATAATTCGTGAAAAAGTGAACAAAGTGAAAAAAACTGTGAAGCCAAAACAGTAAAAAATAAAAAACCCTTGTGAATGTGAATCACTCTTCAGTGCTCTATTCCAACCAGCACTGTGACACTTCTAAGTGTAGTAAGGAATGCATACCCTTACCAATATTCAGAAAACAGACGCTTTTTTTTTATATCTTTCCAAAAGGAAAGTGGGAGACAGTCCTCCTATTGATCTCCACCCAATACAATCCGCCTTCACATTAGCATCAGGATCCACCAGCCTTGAAACTCCATATATCCACATCAGGCATATTCCATATAAATATAAATTAATAGGAAACACAATAGTATAATACCGCCAGAATCAATCTTAAAATCAACTTTAATCAGGATGCTCACATTTTACCAGCATAAAAACGCTTAAAAAGTACTCAGAAGTGGTTTACTGTAATCGAGGAAGTGCCCAGGGGAGATCAAACGATCGTTTCCCTCATCCAAGATGGCCGCCGGCCAACTTCCGGTTCTTGTGTGCGTGTTTTAACGTCACTTCCCCTTGACGTGTTTCGTCATCGACTTAATCATAAGGGATCCACTTTTTCACGAATTATTAATGTGATTGGGTATTCACTTGAATGAAGTCACTATTATTTATTTAGCTAAAAAAAAGATAATGCACTATGTGAATATTTTTTTCTTTTTGAGGTATATTATCGGAGGAATTTTTTGAACACAAGAAGAATTTGAATTAAAGATTGGACTTATAGGGCTTGGACTGCACATAGTTTTTGAGGACTTATTGTATAGCATCTTCTGTTTGCTGATAACTGCAGAAGAACCTTTTAAAAAATTTTAAAATAAGCCTGGATTTGGATTTTTATGTCATTCTCAATATTTTTCCATTAGGTTTCTCACCCCTTGCATTAGGTGGTCTCTCTTTGGCAGAGTCCCTACCTAGTACTCATTGGTTGTCTTGGCTGATCATGAGTAGAAGGGTTTGCCGGGCCTTTAGGCTAGGTGGACCTAAGTGTGCCTCACTTTCTTCAGGAGCCTTATTCCCTGGGGGGCTGTTGGGGAGATAGGGGGTCAAGGAAGGGTTTTTCTTCTTTGGCAGGGGACTATGCACTATTCACTTTTGGTATTTAGTTTTTGAGCACTGCACTGCAGGCTCCAAAAAAGACAAAAAAAGGAATTGGCAGGGGTTCCCAGAGACCAGAAAGTTATTTCAAGGATTCTTCATTTTTTTTTTTTAATTTTGGGAAAGGCTGTGAATAGGAGTGAAGAAATTATTTTCTTTTCCCCAGAATGTCACCAGGGGCTTTGAGGTCCTCACTTCATGGAGGCCAGGAGAAGGAATCCAAAAGGTGGCCCTATGTCTCATTCTTCAATTTATGGACACCTGGCTAGAAAATTGTTCTGCAGTGGCAGGAAGGGTTAGCAGTTGTGTTTCAGTGATAATGATGTTGACATTTTAGATATAGGTGTACATTAAAGTGGACTTTGGATTAAAATGCAAAGTCTGATTATTCAATAGCATAGTTGGTACCTTAGAAGAGTCTTAGTCCAGGTTAATTTCCAAGTCAATTTCACTTCAGTGATCCCAGATCCTTTCATGTGATTTGTTTTTGACAGAGAGACAAGATTGGCAGATCCAGACTGACGACTCACAAAATCATTGTTCCGTTTTCGAAAATGTCCCAGCTGGGAAAAGACCTGAAGTCAGCGCTGATAGGGAAGAAGTGGAGGAACTGGAGCAGGTGCGGGTTCATGTGCCCTCATTGTCCTTTCATGCTCGGTCCATCAAATTCAATCTAATCTGGTTCTCAAGTGCACTGTGGTTTTTTTTACTGATTGGAATCAAATCACTTTTTTTCAATGTCCTTGTGTGTGGCTACATTCCAACCTAAGCTTTTCTGCAGTGCTGTAGAAAAAGTCCTGCTTGCTGTGCCTTTGGTGCAAAATGCACATTATATAGGGATCAACTTTTTCCACCTTTTAATGTGACCTATAAACTGTACAACTCAATTGAAAAACAAACTGAAATATTTTAGGAGTGAGGAATTAAACAAAAAAAACTAACAATGTGATTGCATAAGTGTGCACACCCTCTTATAACTGGAATGTAGCTGTGTTCAGAATTAATCAATCACATTCAAAATCATGTTAAATAGGAGTCAGTACACACCTGCCATCATTTAAAGTGCCTCTGATTAACCCCAAATAAAGTTCAGCTGTTTTAGTCGGTCTTTCCTGACATTTTCTTAGTCGCATCTTACAGCAAAATCCATGGTCCGCAGAGAGCTTCCAAAGCTTCAGAGGGATCTCTTTGTTAAAAGGTATCAGTCAGGAGAAGGGTGCAAAAGAATTTCCAAGGCATTAGAAATACCATGGAACACAGTGAAGACAGTCGTTATCAAGTGGTGAAAATATGGTGCAACAGTGACATTACAAAGAACTGGACATCCCTCCAAAATTGATGAAAAGTCGAGAAGAAAACTGGTCTGGGAGGCTGCCAAGAGGCCTACAGCAATATTAAAGGAGCTGCAGTAATATTTGACAAGTACTGACTGTGTGGTCATGTGACAACAATCTCCCATATTCTTCATATGTCTGGGCTATGGGGTAGAGTGACAAGACGGAAGCCTTTTCTTAAGAAGAAAAACATCCAAGCCCGGTAAATTTTGTAAAAACACATCTGAAGTCTCCCAAAAGCATGTGGTAAAATGTGTTCTGGTCTTATGAAACCAATGATGAACTTTTTGGCCATAAGTTCAGAAGATATGTTTGGTGCAAAAACAACACTGCACATCACCAAAAGAACACCATACCCACAGTGAAGCATGGTGGTGGCAGCATCATGCTTTGGGGCTGTTTTTCTTGAACTGGAATTAGGGCTTTAGTCAAGGTAGAAGGAATTATGAACAGTTCCAAATACCAGTCAATACTGACACAAAACCTTCAAGCTTCTGCTAGAAAGCTGAACATGTAGAGGAACATCATCTTTTCAGCATGACAACAACCCAAAGTATACATCCAAATCAATGAAGGAATGGCTTCACCAGAAGAAGATGGAAGTTTTGGAAAGGACAAGCCAGAGCCCAGACCAACTTGGATGTGACTTTGGATGGGTGCGACTTTAATGCAACTTTGGATGGGTGCGATTTGGATGAGACTTTGGATGGGTGCGACTTTGATGTGACTTTGGATGGGTGTGGTTTGGATGTGACTTGGATGCAACTTTGAATTGGTATGACTTGGATGTAACTTTGGATGGCTGCAACTTGGATTTGACTTTGGATGAGTGCGACTTGGATGCGACTTTGGATGGGTGAGTCTTGGATGCGACTTTGGATGGGTGGATGGGTGTGACTTGGATGTGACTTTGGATGGGTGTGACTTGGATGTGACTTTGGATGGGTGTGATTTGGATGTGACTTTGGATGGGTGTGACTTGGATGTGACTTTGGATGGGTGTGATTTGGATCTGTGACTGGATGGATTTGGGGGTGTGACTTGGATGTGACTTTGGATGGGTGTGACTTGGATGTGACTTTGGATGGGTGCGACTTGGATGTGACTTTGAGAGTGCCAGATAGTGTAAAGTCAACTTTCATACTTTCCTACTAGCAGAAAATTGGCATCAAAGTTGCACCCATCCAAAGTGAATCAAATCGCACCAAAGTCAGACTACATGAACAGAACTGTCATAAAAAAAGTTGGCATCAAATTTGCACCCATGTAAAGTCTCATCAAAGTTGCACCCATCCAAAGGTCTCATCAAAGTTGCACCCAGTCCAAAGTCTCATAAATGTTGGACCCATCCAAAGTCTCATCAAATTGGTAGGGCATCCAAAGTGAATCAAAGTTGCACCAAGTTAGACTACGTAACAGAACTGTCATAAACAAGTTGGGTCATCAAATTTTGCACTCATCCAAAGTTTCATCAAAGTTGCACCCATACCAAAGTCTCATCAAAGTTGGACCGATCAAAGTCTCATCAAAGTTGCACCCATCTAAAGTCTCATCAAAGTTGTACCCATCCAAAGTCTAGTCAAAGTTGGACCCATCCAGAGGTCTCATCAAAGTATGTACCCATCCAAAGTCTCATCAAAGTTGGACCATCCAAGAGTCTCATCAAAGTGTGGACCCATCCAAGTCTCAGTCAAAGTTGGACCCATGTAAGTCTCAGAAAGTCACCCATCCAAAGTCTCATCAAAGTGTGCACCCATCCAAAGTCTCATCAAAGTTGGACCCATCCAAAGTCTCATCAAAGTTGCACCAAAGTGTCAAAGTCAATATATGTCCTATTGGCAGTGTACAGCAAAACACATAAATGTAACGCTTCAAAACAGTGTACTACATTCATTTCTGCTGCGTGTTCATTGAAGTCTTTGGAGGGGCAGTGAAAACTTCAAGAGTAAAAGTGTATGTATAGGGATTGTTTATTTTAAAAGTAAAAAATGTAAGGCAGTGGGGGGAGGTCATTCACGTATGTAATGGGGGGCAGGTGGTGGCAGTGAAGGGGGCAGTAAATCATGCAGTTTTGCTTTACTCCTTCATTGGTGAGCCTGCACAATTAGAATAAATTCTGAGGTATTCTGACAACATGAACCCTAAATGTAGTCTTTAGATTAAGAAATGAACTGGAATGGAATGATCCCTTTTTATACTTTCACAGCTGATTGTCGGTGAAGGAGAAAACGTAGGATGTTGTCACAGCTTTACACACTCCGGAAGAGTTCAGGTAAATAATGCAGTCATCTGTCTGATATATTGACTAAAGTATTGTCATATTCAGGTACTTCCTGGTATGGGGTGACAACACTTTGCCCTTGCCTTTCAAATATGTTCCTGCGTTGTCACCCCAGCATCCAATGGAGACTTTATGTGATTATTTCAACACACATTTCAGAGGCATTGTTTGCTGTTGTCACCATCAGGAAACCCTTTCTGAGAAGTGCCATGGGGGAGGGGGGGGGGGGGGGGGGGTGCAAGACATGTTACACATAGTTGCCAACATTTCCAAAACGTTTTCAAGGACACCTTTTTTCATTGTATCCAGCAAGCAATTGTAGGCAGGGAATTCATGTAAAATGGGCGTGGTTCTACAAGAATCATATCTATTATATGAATATTTATGGATGCAGTCATAGTATGTAGGGCAGTGTACAGAGGTCAGTAGTATGTAGGGCAGTGTACAGAGGTCAGTAGTATGTAGGACAGTGTACAGAGGTCAGTAGTATGTAGGGCAGTGTACAGAGGTCAGTAGTATGTAGGGCAGTGTACAGAGGTCAGTAGTATGTAGGGCAGTGTACAGAGGTCAGTAGTATGTAGGACAGTGTACAGAGGTCAGTAGTATGTAGGGCAGTGTACAGAGGTCAGTAGTATGTAGGGCAGTGTAGAGAGGTCAGTAGTATGTATGGCAGTGTACAGAGGAGGTCAGTAGTATGAAGGGCAGTGTAAATCAGAGGTCAGTAGTATGTAGGACAGTGTAGAGAGGTCAGTAGTATTATAGGGCAGTGTACAGAGGTCAGTAGTACGTAGGGCAGTGTAGAGAGAGTCAGTAGTACGTAGGGCAGTGTAGAGAGGTCAGTAGTATGTAGGGCAGTGTAGAGAGAGTCAGTAGTATGTAGGGAAAGTGTAGAGAGGTCAGTAGTACGTAGGGCAGTGTAGAGAGGTCAGTAGTATGTAGGGCAGTGTACAGAGGTCAGTAGTATGTAGAGTAGTGTACAGAGGTCAGTAGTATGTGGGGCAGTGTAGAGAGGTCAGTATTATGTGGGGGCAGTGTAGGAGGTCAGTAGTATGTAGGGCAGTGTACAGAGATCAGTAGTATGTAGGACAGTGTACAGAGGTCAGTATTATGTAGGGCAGTGTACAGAGGTCAGTAGTATGTAATGCAGTATAGGAGGTCTGTAGTATGTAATGGCAGTATCTGGAGGTCTGTAGTATGTAATGCAGTATCTACAGAGGTCAGTAGTATGTAATGCAGTATCTGGAGGTCTGTAGTATGTAATGCAGTATCTGGAGGTCTGTAGTATGTAAGGCAGTATCTGGAGGTCTGTAGTATGTAGGCAGTATCTGGAGGTCAGTAGTATGTAATGCAGTATGTACTGGAGGTCAGTAGTATGTAAGGCAGTATCTGAGGTCAGTAGTAGTATGTAATGCAGTATCTGGAGGTCTGTAGTATGTAAGGCAGTGTACAGAGAGGTCAGTAGTATGTAATGCAGTATCTGGAGGTCAGTAGTATGTAATGCAGTATCTGGAGGTCAGTAGTATGTAATGCAGTATCTAGAGGTCTGTAGTAGTATGTAATGCAGTATACTGGAGGTCTGTAGTATGTAGGGCAGTATCTGGAGGTCTGTAGTATGTAAAGCAGTATTTGGAGGTCTGTAGTATGTAAGGCAGTATCTGGAGGTTTGTAGTATGTAAAGCAGTATTTGGAGGTCAGTAGTATGTAAGGGCAGTATCTGGAGGTCAGTAGTATGTATGGCAGTATCTGGAGGTCTGTAGTATGTAAGGCAGTATCTGGAGGTCTGTAGTATGTAATGCAGTATCTGGAGGTCTGTAGTATGTAAGGCAGTATCTGGAGGTCTGTAGTATGTAAAGGACAGTATTTGGAGGTCTGTAGTATGTAAGGCAGTATCTGGAGGTCAGTAGTATGTAATGGCAGTATCAGGAGGTCTGTAGTATATGTAATGCAGTATCTGGAGGTCTGTAGTATGTAATGCAGTATCTGGAGGTCTGTAGTATGTAAGGCAGTATCTGGAGGTCTGTAGTATGTAATGCAGTATCTGGAGGTCTGTAGTATGTAAGGCAGTATCTGGAGGTCTGTAGTATGTAAGGCAGTGTAGAGAGGTCTGTAGTATGTAAGGCAGTATCTGGAGGTCAGTAGTATGTAATGCAGTATCTGGAGGTCTGTAGTATGTAAGGCAGTGTAGAGAGGTCAGTAGTATGTAATGCAGTATCTGGAGGTCAGTAGTATGTAATGCAGTATCTGGAGGTCTGTAGTATGTAATGCAGTATCTGGAGGTCTGTAGTATGTAATGCAGTATCTGGAGGTCTGTAGTATGTAATGCAGTATCTGGAGGTCTGTAGTATGTAATGCAGTATCTGGAGGTCTGTAGTATGTAACGCAGTGTAGGAGGTCAGTAGTATGTAATGCAGTATCTGGAGGTCAGTAGTATGTAATGCAGTATTGGAGGTCTGTAGTATGTAATGCAGTATCTGGAGGTCTGTAGTATGTAATGCAGTATCTGGAGGTCTGTAGTATGTAATGCAGTATCTGGAGGTCTGTAGTGTGTAAGGCAGTATCTGGAGGTCTGTAGTATGTAAGGCAGTATCTGGAGGTCTGTTGTAGTATGTAAGGCAGTATCTGGAGGTCTGTAGTATGTACGGCAGTGTAGGAGAGGTCTGCAGTATGTAATGCAGTATCTGGAGGTCTGTAGTATGTAAGGCAGTATCTGGAGGTCTGTAGTATGTAATGCAGTATCTGGAGGTCTGCAGTATGTAAGGCAGTGTATCTGGAGGTCTGTAGTATGTAAGGCAGTATCTGGAGGTCTGCAGTATGTAATGCAGTATCTGGAGGTCTGCAGTATGTAAGGCAGTATCTGGAGGTCTGTAGTATGTAAGGCAGTGTCAAGAGGTCTGCAGTATGTATTCATGAGTAGGGCAGTGGTTGGGGGTCAGCAGGAAAATGACAGGGCAGTTAGGAGGACACAGTACAGGGGTTTAGAAGGTCATAGAGCACAGTACAGGGTGTCAGGAGGGCACAGTACGTGGGAGGGGCGCAGTCTATGGTACAGAAGCGGTGTCCTCTATATGCAGAGCAGCGCAGGGAAGCTGTTGTCCCTTAACACCTGTTCTGGAACGCTGATCTGTTTACACCTGCCTGGGTGAATGGACTGACAGGGAGACCTGATCGGACCTGCTAAGTGAAAGAGGCCCTAGTGATGGCACCAGCAAGCAGTGACTGTTCGAAATCGGGTTTAAAAATGCACTGCCCAATCTCTCACAGGACAGTACTACCTGAAAAAGGAGATACCATCTTTGTCAGCTAACCCCACTTCTTTTTAGTTCGATAAATGTTCGACAACAATGCTATCTCCTTTTTTCAGGTAATACTGTCCTGACTGTGAGAAATTGGGCAGTGCAGTTTTAAACCCGATTTCTCAAAGTCAGGACACTGTCTTACATTAAAAAAAGGAGATCCCGACATTTGCACACTTCTTTATCTATATCCTGCTGACAGCCACAAATTGGTTCTTACCTCTGTGTTGCTCTGTCTCGCTGTTGGTCTTCCTTGCTCCCAAGATGGACTATGGGATTTGTAGTGTACACAGAGTACAGCGCTCGTTCCAAACAAACACAGGAAGGGAGGGGGACAAGGAGAGGATCAGGAGCTCACAGAGTATGTTACCGATTCAGAAAAACACAGTAAGAAATAATTTCATGAAACAAATTTTACGGGCCATTAAAGTGGTTGTAAAGGCTCGCCTAAGCCCCCTCTCGATCCAGCGAGGAGTCTCGGAAATCCTGGGACTCCCTCTCTTCATTGACCGAGACAGCAGCGGGAGACTTTGGCTGTCAGTCACAGCAAGTGAGCCAATGAGAAGAGAGAGGGGCGGGGCCAAGCGGCAGCTCCATGTTTGAATGGACACATGGAGCAGCGGGTGCCCCCTTAGCAAGCTGCATGCTTTGGGGGCACTCGACAGGTGAGAGGGGCCAGGAGCACCTACAGGGGACCCGAGAAGAGGAGGATCCAGGCTGCTCTGTGCAAAACCACTGCAGACAGAGGGTAAGTATAGACATGTTTGGTTTTTTTTTTTTGTTTTGTTTTTTTAATTTAAGCCTTTATAATCACTTTAAGTAGTTTGATGTGTATGGATTATTTTTGAAGACTAAGGATATGGTTTTAGTGTCACATAAAGGTTTTTACAGATTATTTTAGTTTAGTTTACTTAGAATAATATGTGTTAGGAGGTCATTTATTTTATTTATTTACTTCATTTCTTATTTCCCAGGTTGATAATTTCCTCAATATGTCTGACTTGGACACTCCCTCTGATGATGAGACCAGGCCACATTTCTGTAAGTTTTTATTGTTGTATTATGCTGCATCTTTAACCACTTGCCCTCCAGACGATTTACCCCCCTTTCCTGACCAGGCCATTTATTGCGATACGGCGCCGCATTACTTTAACTGACAATTGCGTGGTCGTGCAACGCTGCACCCAAATGAAATTTACAGTCAGGTCCATAAATATTGGGACATCAACACAATTCTAACATTTTTGGCTCTATATACCACCACAATGGATTTGAAATGAAACAAACAAGATGGGCTTTAACTGCAGACTGTCAGCTTTAATTTGAGGGTATTTACATCCAAATCAGGTGAACGGTGTAGGAATTACAACAGTTTGCATATGTGCCTTCCACTTGTTAAGGAACCAAAAGTAATGGGACAATTGGCTTCTCAGCTGTTCCATGGCCAGGTGTGTGTTATTCCCTCATTATCCCAATTACAATGAGCAGATAAAAGGTCCAGAATTCATTTCAAGTGTGCTATTTGCATTTGGAATCTGTTGCTGTCAACTCTCAGGATGAGATCCAAAGAGCTGTCACTATCAGTGAAGCAAGCCATCATTAGGCTGAAAAAACAAAACAAACCCATCAGAGGGATAGCAAAAACATTAGGCGTGGCCAAAACAACTGTTTGGAACATTCTTAAAAAGAAGGAACGCACCGGTGAGCTCAGTAACACCAAAATACCCGGAAGACCACGGAAAACAACTGTGGTGGATGACCTAAGAATTCTTTCCCTAGTGAAGAAAACACCCTTCACAGCAGTTGGCCAGATCAAGAACACTCTCCAGGAGGTAGGTGTATGTGTGTCAAAGTCAACAATCAAGAGAAGACTTCACCAGAGTGAATACAGAGGGTTCACCACAAGATGTAAACCATTGGTGAGCCTCAAAAACAGGAAGGCCTTCACACTTCTGGAACAACATCCTATGGACAGATGAGACCAAGATCAACTTGTACCAGGAGTGATGGGAAGAGAAGAGTATGGAGAAGGAAAGGAACTGCTCATGATCCTAAGCATACCACCTCATCAGTGAAGCATGGAGGTGGTAGTGTCATGGCGTGGGCATGTATGGCTGCCAATGGAACTGGTTCTCTTGTATTTATTGATGTGACTGCTGACAAAAGCAGCCGGATGAATTCTGAAGTGTTTCGGGCAATATTATTTGCTCATATTCATCCAAATGCTTCAGAACTCATTGGACGCTTCACAGTGCAGATGGACAATGACCCAAAGCATACTGCAAAAGCAACCAAAGAGTTTTTTAAGGGAAAGAAGTGGAATGTTATGCAATGGCCAAGTCAATCACCTGACCTGAATCCGATTGAGCATGCATTTCACTTGCTGAAGACAAAACTGAAGGGAAAATGCCCCAAGAACAAGCAGGAACTGAAGACAGTTGCAGTAGAGGCCTGGCAGAGCATCACCAGGGATGAAACCCAGCGTCTGGTGATGTCTATGCGTTCCAGACTTCAGGCTGTAATTGACTGCAAAGGATTTGCAACCAAGTATTAAAAAGTGAAAGTTTGATTTATGATTATTATTCTGTCCCATTACTTTTGGTCCCTTAACAAGTGGGAGGCACATATGCAAACTGTTGTAATTCCTACACCGTTCACCTGATTTGAATGTGGTGGTGTATAGAGCCAAAAATGTTAGAATTGTGTCGATGTCCCAATATTTATGGACCTGACTGTATATGGCCAAAAACTTCTCAGCCTTGTGGCTAAGATCAAGTGTAAACTAAAGAAGCGCGGCACTATTGAAATGTGGATTACTAGCGCAAAATCAAAACCAAGGGTCGGTTCACACCATGCCCACTCTGAATCGCGCAGGATTGCACTGTGAGTTCCAGAGCGATTCACATGCGGTTCTGTGCGGTGCGATTTTAGCTCATTCATTTACAATGGGCTGAAATTGCACCTCACCACACCAAAGGTAGTACATGCACCACGTTTTTAAAACTCACTGCAACTGGATTGCATGGTAGAAAAGTACCATGCAATCCGGTAAGGGCAGGTGTACTGCGTTTGTGACCTGCATTTGGGGTGATGTTAACTTTTTTTATTGACACCCGCTACAGACTGCAAATGTAGTGCATTTCGTATGCGGTTTGATAGACGCAGCGCGTTCCTGTGCAAGTCAGATCCTGACATGGTGTGAGCTGGCCCTAAATGTTTATATTTTAGTCACTACAGTACAACAGGGGGCGCACATTTTGTAGAGTGGCAGGTGGGCATTTAGGCACGCCTTAGTGCAGGTGCCAAAACAAAAACACCTTTAAGATCAAGTGTACTGTCTGTTCATATCAGTGTCCAGTAGGATGCTCCACCTCCAGTGTGGCCTTCTGGCTGGAATGGCTGGCTGTATGGCATCCCTGCTGGTATGATGGGATCTTAAGTGATCTCTCTCATGGGAATGAAACTGAATAAAGCGTCCACTGGGTTAGGTTGGGGTCCTGAGTATTCCCCTAGTGTGGAGGATCCTGAGGGGCCCAGTGCCTCTAGACTTGTGGTGATAACTTGCCTGGGCTGGTAGGGAGAGAGCCTGTTGTGTCGAGCGCTCCCTGAGAATGGCAACCTGGGGGATGCTGAAGTAACATTATGGGTTTGGAATGCTACTGTTTAAAATAGAATTTAGGCCGTGACACCAAATGCTTTTTTTTTGTTTCTTGCCCCATAGGCTAGGCTTTTTGGCTGAGACTGGGGCAATTTTTGATACCAGACCTCAAGGCCTGACCGTTGTATTAGACATTGGCACTTTTTGTTTATTTTTTTTCCAATTGTTTGTCACTGCACTTGTGTTTGTGTCTTTTTTCACTCCAAAAGGATGGTAGGGTGAGGGTCTTTGGGCCTACCCTGAAGTCTAGAAGGAAGATGTGTGGCCATTAGGTTCCTTCCTCCCCTGCTTTGGCGGTCTCTCCTTAGTATCTCCTTAGCCTGATCTCGAGGAGAAAGGGTCCTTGCCTCCGTCAGAAGTCTTACATCCTTGGGGGGGTCAGGGAAGGGTCCTTCCACTTCATGAAGGAACCATATGACACACTCTAGTGCACTATAATGTGTGCACTTAATTTTGATGTTTAGTTTTTGTGCACCGTGGGATCAAACTGGAAAAAAAATGTATTTTTAGACACTCCTCCATGTATTGAGTTCAGGTGTTTCCGGTGAAGGGTACGTTTAATGATACATTATGGTAAAAAATTATATAAAATGCTGCCTGTCTATGTCCTTATGGTGCCGTACCAGATACGGTCCACACCTTGCTTTGCTCCTGTTTTGCATCTCCCAAGCATGGTCACTGAGACATCTAAGTTCATCTAAGTCAAGAACATGAAAAATAATTTGCAGATTGTGTCTAGCATGACATGTCAATACTTGCTCAATTATCTCCCTCTCATTGGCAGCAAGCACTGCATTCCTATTCCTCATTAATCACCTCCACTGAGAATGTAATTAGCAGCTTAATTAGGATCATCGCGGCCTTGTGCTGCAAAAGCACCAGCAGCCAACTTCACGGGGCAGATACAGCTGATACAAACCCCCCGCCGCCCACTCGCCCCAAGCTGCTGCCCCGCAGAGGTTATGAGCATGGAATTGTATGGAGTGGTAGAGATGAGCAGGAAAAATTCAGGTCGGTCTATCAGAGATCTCAGCATGAGTCGGGATCAAATATTCACAAAGACCAGAGGAGCTCACAGCACAGGGAGATACAGGAGAGCCACGAGGAACTGCACTTATTTGGTTCTTAGTAATTAGATTGCATAATGAACGAGCGCCAATTAATTTAGCTGGCAGCTGGACGATTGTTTATTTGGCACATGTAATCTAACTTGCATCCCTGGTTAAGGGAGGTCTCCTTTCAAAGAAGTTATCATGATCGCTCTTATATATAAGATCTATACTTTTACTCTGCACCATTTGTTTAAACTTTGTGGACGTGTGCCATCTAAATCCAATTGGGGTTTTTTGGTAAAAAATACTTGACCAGGGGACTAAAGATGGCTTGTAAGTCCCACTAAACCAATATCTACCCCCCCCATCATCCTTAACCTAAGTAACCCCACTGACAAAAAATGGAGTTAATGGCCCAAAACCGGCCTTTTATTACAACCATCAATAAATAACATTTTTTAAATAACAGAAAAACACATTATAAACATATGTACTTTCAAGGTCCCAGTAGGCCTCAAAAAAATGAATACTTGCGTCCAGCTTAACTAGGCATCCAACCGCAACATCACCGACTCTGAGACACCATCGCAGATACCCCCACCAGAGCAAATGAAAGCTGTACCTCAGACAGGTTCCTACAAAGTGCCTTTTCTCGTGCCCACATTAACCAAAGAGGACCTTGCACCCCACCGGACATCCCCCAGCACCAATATGGCACAACCACCACCAAGGCAAACCATCAAACCAGGGGATGGACTGACAACTCATGGGGCCCCCCGGGCAATAGGGGATCATGGGGCCCCTGTGTCCTTGCCCACACTCAAAAATGCCTATAAAAAAGGTACCAGGGGCATTTCACGGGGCCCCCTACTGACCCCGGGCCCTCGGGCAGTGCCCGTGTGCTCGAATGGTAAGTCCGCCCTTGCATCAAACAACGGGCAGGTGGGAGGGAAGTTTGCCCTGTGAAAACTCTCTTCAGACTGAAAACCCCCTGCCACACCCTGTAAGACCACCCCTCGTAGCTCCCCCCTCTCCTTCCTTAACTATTTTTGACTCCCCCTTATGCTAATGGGACTTTGCCTCTCCCAACTCCATTTAATGCCGGCCCTTCGTTCAGGTCTTCTTTTTTCTTACTCCGGACCTTCCTGTTGCAGTGGGGACCTCCTGCACTGCAGGGGTTAAAGAAGATCGATCATTCAATTTATTTTGCTGTGCTGTCCCCCATGGGAGACATGTTGCTAGATGCATCCTAATCTTAGCTATGAGGTTGGACAGGGTGCCCCCTCTCGCCCCGCAGCCATCCGATAACATGGCTTGGAAGGAGATGGCGG